AATTAGAAGGTGAAGCATGGTGTAATAAGCAGGCAGCCCCAATATGTAAACACAAAAACAAAACCATCTAATGGGGTGTGTACCAGTATTTAGCAAAACTCCTAGTGTATCCCAAACATCAGACCTTCCTTTGGAAAAGCTACTCTATCTGCTCCAAAGTATGAAAATTACATTAAGTACAATTTCCATTTATACAAATACTGTATTTGATTAAAAGTAAAAAGAGTTTTGCTCAATATAGTAGTTTGATTCCTGTGAAGAAGATTCCCTTGAAATGAAATAGGGTATACTGTATACTGAGGGGGCTATTTATGATTCCTTCTGAAGCAAGTGAATAGTAACAAATATAACAAAATAATGAACAGAAATACCAACAGGTAATTTCACATTGAATTGAAGAGTTACTAATTTGACTAGAATTAGAGGGATCATTTGCCTGCCTTAACAGTGACGCTTTGTGGAGTACACTGCAGCTGATTCCTTCATTTTCTGGGTTTTTCCTTGCATCACTGACTTCCAAAAATTATCTTGTCTCTCTTTCTTCAGTAAGCATTTATAAAGAACCCTCTTTCAAACCCAGTATTACAGCCAGGAGCATCCCAGCAAGGTGAAATGTTGTCAAAATGATGGAATGGGCATCATGATGTCACAATGCAAGCTTCACCTAAACATGCTTACATGAGATATCATGAGGCGCGTACAAAAGTTTGCATTGGGATGTCATTTGTCATTTGATTCATCCTTACCCTCTGCCGATGCCCACGGTGCAGTCTATCTCAATGTATATTATAGCACAACCTTACAGAAAGTCCTAAAAAATCTGTTTCTAATTTACACTAAAAATTTTTCTGAGGGAAAAACAGATTAATCAGTAGAAACCAGTTCATTCTACTACAGCCTGTAACTCAATTCTTCATTTAATTTCTTTTCCTGTTTTTTTTTTAAAGTATCCTATTCTTAGCCACAAGTTAAAGGATAATTGTATGCGTGAGGAAATAAGAACATAACTGTTTTTGAAATTTCAATATCATGAAATCTTACAACATGTCTTCACACATTTTGACCCAGATATTTCATATCCTCATATTTTTGTTATCTGAAGGGAGATGGAAAATATGCTGCAGAAAAAGAATGATAAAATGGATATATTCAACAACTATTCAAGCATATTAAAATATTCTAGTTATGGAAAATCATAAAAAGACAATGTTTCATTCATACAGCTTGTCAAATTTCTGTTGCACATAATTTTAACTCACTAAACAGCAGAGCATCAACTTCAGAAAACATTAAAAGCAGTATAAAACAGTAAGCAACTACTTTTTAACATGTAGACATTTTCACTCCACTATTCAATCATGTTTAATTTTTCTAATATTTCTTTAAAAATTTTTTTTGAAAAATATGTCCCTTATAAGGAACAGCTTATTGAACAAAGCCCCTTACAAAGCATAACACTGTTTAATAGTTTGCATACCATGTATAAAATTAAAAGGTTTTAAAACCATTCAGTATACATCTTCTTGCTTGGGCATAAGAACACCTAAAAAGAATAATGTGACTGTATATAACTTCGCTTGAATTAGATAGATTGAAGAATTTCCTGCAGCACATCATTTCTCTGGTTCCAGAAACAATGCATGAAATAATTCAGGAAACAATGCTTAAAAGGAAATTGCTGAACTCGGCTACTGTATGTGTCTGTCTACTTATTTCCTCCATTCATCTTTGCCAAAACTCAGTCTCATAATATCTACCACAGTCAGTTAAATATCATCCCTTGTAATCTCTGCATAGCTAGAAAAGGTTTTCACCCCATTCAGGCATTACTGAAAGCAAAATGTTCACTGTCCATGTGAACTTTCCAGTCAAGTTCCATTGGCTTCCTGCCTAAACATTGATATATACGGTTGTACACGTGAGACTTTTTTTCCTGCAAACATTCATGCCAAATGTGCAAATATATGCAGGAAACTACCATCATTTGGATGATGTCAGCGGAGAGCAGGGTCTTTTTAGAGTGGTCACATGGTGTAACAAACGTGTGGCCAGGGGAAGGGGGGGTGAGTTCATGCAGCAATAGCTTGCCATCTTGATTCACAAGAATGCCTCAAAGCCCTAGATAAGAAAATAAATGTGAGTAGCTGCTGCCAATGCTTTGATAATTACTACTTTTCTATAAAAGAGAAGTTCGGTTGGTAGAAAATGTACTGTATTTGCCTTTTGGTAAATGGTTGATTTGTGCTGGCTACAACCATTTTAGTATCCATTTATGAATACTTTCCCCATGAAAGTGATTTTGTAATATTGCCCACATCAAGCTCTCAAAATTCCAAATGTATCTACTAGCTCCAAATGTTTGTCTACTCCTGCCCTAACCTAATATAACCAACTTCTCCACTCTCTCTTTCAAGTACCAGTGTTGAGCAATTGTATTCTGTTGTATAGTGAGAACGTATTAGGAATTAAGCTGGTGTACCATCCAATCCTTTTCTAATCAGTGTTTTTGCTTGAATCAATAGAGATTGTGTCACATTTTGTGTTGAGGATTCCCAGAATGCTGGTTAACTAGATTTCCATGCTGAAGTCACTGGTTCAGGAAGTTTTAATGCCACTATGCCAATCCTGGGAACACTGTTAGTCCAACAAATACAATACCAGATAATTGATTAACTGGTTAATTTTTTCAACTGGACAAGAAGATAGTGTTCTGAAAGTTAAAAAAATTGACATTTCTCTCTCTGTCATGATCTAGTTGAGATTTAGATTTCAAGAAATATTAATATGGTCTATCCTTAGACTGTAATAGATTCCCATGAATTCCACAGCACTGTGATAGAGTCTTTTTCCTGGCATTCTGCCCTAGGCACTCTGGAAAATGCAGAGCCATGATTGCTCCCAAATATATCTCTTCCGAGCATTGCCTAGGCCACTTCTTTATAAACAATTGAAGCAAAATTTAAATCTGGGAGAATCTATGAAACTTGTGTCAAGGTCGGTGAAGCGGAGATTAAAGCTTATTATTCTGCCTATTTTGGGACAGTGATGGTAAATTTGTTTCCTCTTGTACAGGCATAAAATAATGAATAACATCAAGCTAATATCAATTATTTTGCATTTTTATTTCAATCTATGTTCTTCCCTATGAAAATTCCTCTGCATGTATATCCAATAAGTTTATGCCATGTATCCAAAAAGCCATTCAACTTATATAATAATGATTAAGCTGCTTAACAGTTGCTGAATACCCCTTCAGGATTTGAAATTCTGGAATAAGGATTTGTGTACCTGTGTGTTCCATTTCCTGAAATATGTAGCAGTGGAAAAAAAAGCAGTTCATCTTTTCAAATATGACAAGCACATGCACACCAGCAGTGCATTAAAAAGCTTTGAAATAGCATGAATTTAATGACAACTCTAACTCATGAATTTAATGACAAGCCACATGAAAACCAGGCCGCTGTAGAACAAACACAAATGTTACATTTCAAACAGCTATCAAACCTATGCCAGAAGATGATTTCCAAAGCGACTGAGTTATACTTAATTATGCATTCTGCTTCCCAAGGCCAAATTTTAGAATTAGGACATATTTGCATAGGAACAGACTGTACCCCTGGCTGGACTCTTGCTCTGGAGAAGAATAAAAGGGAAAGTCCCCTCAGGCATAGAAAGTATCTTTTTACAGTCCCTGGGTTAAGAATGCCCAGTTTAAGGACAATCCATAGTTAAAAATGGAGCGTACTGTAGCAAAATTAGAGTTAAATACACAATGGTTCAAGTTCATTACACAATACTATAATACAGTATTATACAATAATACTGTTCCAGCTTACATACAAATTTGACTTAAGGACAGA